TGTGTGTGTGTGTGTGTAGGATATTACATGAACTTGTAACAGCATGTGGCATTAAATGAAACTCTGTAAAAGAAATGTTATCCTTAGGTGGAGGAAATAGAGATCGTCATGCCCAACCAGCATTACTTCACCATAGACATGACAAAAATGGGTCTAAACAACAAAGATGAGGTAAATACTATGGACCGTTGTTTACAATAACAAATAGTGTTTTAAATGACAATTTTTATTGTTCTTTTTTTTAGGTATTTCTTCCTCTGGACAGTCCTTCTGGTAACATTACTGGGACAGTGTGCCGCAAACAGAGAGCCAGACTTTAAAAGGAACAGCAACGATTGATTACACCATTGCCAGTTTCAGTATTAATCTGTTGATCCAAAAAATAAAAACCAATCTAAGTGATGAAACCAATAAAAACCCTAAAGATGTGAACAAGACTATTGCCTATGAATATGTAAAACTAATCAGACAAAAACAGGAGTAGTAAAAACAATTCAACCAACTTTTATTGAGAATCTCTTCCTCTTTGCTACAGTGTTGTATTTTAAGGTCTAATGCCCTTTGGGTTGTTCCAAAATATCAAACAATGCATGTATACAAATATTAGCATATCCTGTGATTGGTACTGACAGAAAAGCACATAGTTTATTTTTACCAGGGAACCTACAGTGTCATTGTTCCCTTTCTCTGAAGGATTATGTTAATGTTTGCCTCATGACGACCCCGGGGGTCTTTAATCATCTGTCAGTGGGTCACAGGCTTCATTTTTGGTATAATCAGGATTTAATAACTGCCTCTTAAGAATATAAATCTAAAGCTATGTTTTAAAAAATATTTAGGAACATCTCTATTAGTTTCTACCATCTGTGTGCAGAGGTATACTTGTCATTACTTTGCATTATTTAGGTTTGCAAAAGCATTTTTTAATCACCTTCTATGATGTCACACGCCAGCATCAGAAACAGAATAAGGTCTGGAATTAGACTGAGTTGGTAAACGATCTTGATTATTCTCTATCCAGCTATTCTGAGTTTTGTAGATTTCAGTATCAGTGACGACTGACAACTTTGACATATTTCCAGCTGTTAGACAGACTCACACTATAACATAAGAATGCATTTCTACATGTAGAGGAATTGAGCCTAAACCAACCAATCCTACAATCTTGCCTAATTTTGTAAATTGGTGTTTGCTAATATGATGTGATAATGTTATTTTCTAACATAGTAATGTATATTGTAGCCAAACTAATAATTTAGTATTTGCTGACATAAAGTATTGAGGTTCTTTAGATGAACCTTCCCACGTCTTAACCAAGCTCACATTTTCCCCTACAACTCTCTCAAACAAGCAGTTATTGCTTAGTTTTGTTTTTGTTCAAGTCAATCACATCTACATAAAAAAAACAACTAATTTGAACTTTTCAAGTTTCTTTTTTTTTTTTATACTCTTCTGACCTTGCTATAGCGTGTGCATTTTTTTTTTTTTTGAGGGAAGGGGGCAATTAATGAGACAAAATTATTTTCTGATTGTAAAACAAAAATGTGTGTATATATATAACTATATAAGGGGAGAAACAATCGGATTGATCGTGATTTATCTATTATTGAAATAATCTAATTTAGTTATCGATTAATCGTCAACTGGAGTTTTGACTGTAAAACATGCCTTTAGATGACAAAGCAGCCCACTTAGAGCAGTAATTATACCAAGATTATAAATATATATACATTTTGCATTTAAGATTTAAAAATTTTTTGTCAATATGCTCTATCCAGAAGACCTCAAGTGGAAAGGTTTGAGTTTCTGCTATTAATTTAGTAAAAATTCTTCTTTAAAGAATCTTTGGCTATCCAATTATCTCTCTCTCTCTCTCTCTCTATATATATATATATATATATATATATATACATATATTAATTGTAGGGTGAAACCCCCTTAGGAGGAAAGGCTTCTATGTACTGAAAACATCAGTGCTTTAAACCACAGATTGATCTGGAGAGAGCCACCAAATGGATAGGTGCTGAATTGTTTTCAGAAAACTGAGCTTAAGTGCAGCTGCAAGTTTGTTTCAGCGGAATACATTTTTTACTGTAGAGAAATAATCATAGAAGCCTTTGCAGACTGTAATGCTAATAATCTTGCAGCTTTTCCATCAAAATAACCTGCAGCCTCTTGTTTCAGAACAACCAGCAAACTCTAATAAGTAAACACGTTTCACTGATAGCGCCTGGCTGCATCTTGACAAAGGAGCAGAAATGTCATTAAGATGTTCCCAAACTTTTTTATTTTCACTTTAGTTTGAAGAAATAAGGATCAAACTGCTTTGTACACCTGAGGTCTAACTTCAAAAAATAACTTTAGAATCAGCAAAGAAGAGCAAGTGATCTTCTCCGTTTTAATGTGTAAAACCAAACAGGGTGAAGCTTTTCTACTGTGTCAAAGGATGTTATTGTTCCATTCTGGGTACAAAATACAGCTATACATGTAAGCTATATGAAATAAATTATGTCTAAAAAAAAAAAAAACATTCTTGCTAGAAAATAACACTTCACATCTCATTATTTGGTCTTATTGTTAAAACTCATTTTTAGTTTCACCTTCCCTTGCTGCTCACCTTATTGTATGAAGCCAAAAAAATAGATTCCTGAACAAGAGTGAATTTTTTAAAGGAAGCTAATGTTGACAAACTGATTTAGCATGGAAAAGTTCTGCCATTAAGGGATTAACAGGCTCCCAACGAACAATGCGTAGTGCAAAATAAATGAATACAGTCCAGAAAGTAAAGTTACTTTGCTCAGAAAAAAAGCACCATTTATCATCAGTTTTAGACTCAAGAAACTCAAACTCCAGTGTTCTGTTACACTTAAAGATGGGTCAAAAACACTTCAATACAGCCGTCTGTGTGACAAAGCTGAAAGCACCAAAGGTAGGTACATAATAAGAATATATACAGAAAGATTCTATCAAGAGCCTTAAGTCTAAATAATGTTGATGTACAGAAACAAAGAAGCTTTAGGTAAAAGGCTGGAAAACCAAATGCTTCATTGTTACATGCTCAGGACAAGTCATGGACTCAGATATGCAGGTTTAAACACAGAGTCAATTCAGGGACATATGGAGGCATCATAAGTGTCTGCATAAGTGTCTGCAGGTATAAAAGTGTTGAGATATTACAGAGCATACATCATTTTTAATTATATATTATCTTATATACAAATACTTAAAAAAAAAAAAAAAACATTATAGGTTAATTAACTTTTCACACTCACACACACGCATCTTTAGAATACTCCCTAAATCTCATTTATTTAAATAAAACACACAAAAAATACATATTTAAGCAGCAGAAATATGAATGGCTAAAAGGGTAAACAGCTGGGTGGACGAATTGTGCAGAACAGTTTTTTTTTTTGGGATCCACGCTTATTAAAAAAAAAAAGAAAACAAGAACAACAACAAAAAACCGAACATACAGCATTCAAATCTGGTTAAGGTGCCGCTGTTGACACCCTGTTTTTGTGAAGCCGCAGCTAACCTGGAGTCTCCTGACATGATGATTGTCACTGAGGTGCGTGGCGGGGTGAGCTGGCCGTGCTATGACGCATTGCTCTTCAGGTGCTGAGTCTGCAGCGGCTTCACATGGTATTCGTAGATTTTCAGCGCCGGGCCGAGTTTTATCGACAGTCCCGTTAAGACGTCGTTTCGCGTCATCAGGAGCAAAGACTTGCCGTCAATTTCCTGTCAGAGACAACTTTTTGGTATAATTATTTCAACACCTGTTTGGACAAAAAGTAGGATTTAAAAAAAAAAAAAAAACAAAAAAAACTAAAAATATCACACAAACCTGATCTTGGAAAGCTGTAGCTTGTTCTTCAAACCCTGTTGCTTTGAAATAATTGACGACGTCAGCAACTCCCCAGTTGGAAGGGTCGGGCAGCTGACCATTCTCCACTGGGCTGTGGGAATAAAGTTAATCCACTCAGATTATAGTGTAACAGCAGAAAGAAAAACTGGAAATTAAACAGGTACATAAGACTCCTACTCTAGTTTTAAATTATACCTTTTGGTGTCGACTGAGCCATTTGCCTTGTCCTCCATACCGGCTGTTGAATAAAATAATATTAACATAAACAGTTAGTTTTACAATCTTACTGAATCAGTTAAGATAAAATAACTTGTTTAGTTCACAAGCAGTTTCAAGCGGTTTTCTTTTTTCTATAATTAACAGCTGATCAAAAAAACATGATGATTTTTTAGTCAAACATTTGTCAACAAAAACAAAAACAAAGAAATCACTGCATAGAACGCCTATATGAACAATGGAAAATCCAAAGTTCTGATAACATTTAGTAATCAAAATATATATACATTTGTTTGGACTGAAATAGGTTTAAGTTTGCAATTCTGTTTGAAAAAGTTAACAAAATGGCACAAATGCATGAGTTTAACGACTTCTGCTTTCAAATGACTGTATAATAATATGCTAATAACACTCTAATACACCATTTTTGGTGTTTAAAATCCTGTAAAATATTGCAATATCAGCTAATTGGTTGAAAACAGAAGACCATTAACTGTATGTCAGATAAGAAAATGTAATTATACAAGTTATAATGACTGAATAATGAATGGTTTAAGTTTTTACCAGATTTTTACCTGCTAATGAGATTAAATTCATTAACTAGCAGGAAATGAATATTTCCGGTGCAGCATCACATAAAAACAACACATTTACAAAGAATTTATGAAGAACAGAAATTAACAAGACATGTCTCATTTTTCTCCTCCTTTTTCACTCAAAAGTAGAACAATTAAAAATATCTGCAGCACATTCAGCCCAACTTTGTTTGTGGGATAAAGTCCATCAGACCTACAGGACCAGACAAATATAAAAGCAGGTAGTTATTTTCTACCTTTAGGGTAAAAAATCTCAATAAAACAACAAAAAAAAAGAATATAAAATGGAAAAACTTGTCATCAGAGGCATGCAAATGTAAAACAAATATGTTAAAAATGTAATAATTGATTCTGATAACATAATAGGATTGTTGCTCTGGTGCTAAACTATTAAAAGTGATTTACATAGGGGCCTTTTTATTTCACATCTTTTATTATGATATTATAATTGATTTTAAATAGGACTTAATACCCACATTATGCTTTAATATGTCAGCTTATAGTTTATCAAGTGGTTTTCAAGTTTAATTTCCCAACATTTGAATAAAAGAAGAGTCTTACATGCTGTTAGGTTGCAGTAATTTTTCATTAGATGTCTTCAGTCAGTGTGTAGGCAGTTCAATCACCATCATCGTTTGTCTTTCTGACATTCAGTGGATGTCCCCGCTGGAAAAGCACAGCAGCAAAATGGTGAAAAAAAGCAGCTTCTTTAACTAAAACTGTCAAATTTCACACGAAACAAGTACAAAATGAGATGTTTAAAAAAATTACGACGTAAAACTCACGCTGTTAGCGAAATTAAAAGCAGAACAAATATTGAAATGAAAAACTGAATACACAACGACGATAAATCGGTCGAAAAAAATATAAATTAAACATAAAAAAAGGGGGAAAAAAATCGACCGTCGAACGACAGGCAGACGTTTAACGGCAACCTATCGGTGTTTTGTAATAACGCTAACGTTAAGCTAAGAGGGATAGTTAGCCTCGTTTGCTAATACGAAATTTAACAGTTACCTTATCTTTTGGGGAGATTCTGGCCTGATAACAGCGGCTCGTTCGAGTCTACAAGCCACAATTCTGCAAATAAAAAGTTTCATTAATATTTGGGATTTTTTACTGTACAATTAGCAACGGGTTTTATTTGATAAAATCAAATTATATTCAAGTAAGCCAACAAGCTTCCTCGCTTTCGTTTCCTTCGCCCACAACGTTGGGGGGGTTTATGGGTAATGTAGTTCAGCAGCACTTAAACGGCTCCCAACAGAAAACACACAAACACTTAGTTTAATAAAAAGAATTTATTATAATGACATATCCTTTGTTACTTAAAATCTGCTACAGCAAAGTGTACTTCCCTTGCGAACACAAGTAAATATGATTGGGAAAAATAATGTGTCAGCTTTCTAAATGATGTGCAAAAATATCCACAAACTAAATTACAGACACATTTCAGATTATTTGATTCCCATACTGGCACGTGTGACTAGCTACAAGAACTGATTGAACTGATTTCCTTCAGTCAGGAAGAGTGTGAAATGGCTCAGGTAAAGGTGCCGTCGTTTTACATCAAATTTCAACAAACATCACACACAAGGGAGGGTAGAACAGATGATACAGAAGAGCTGGAAAAAGCCTAAACATTTGTTTTTCAGGATTTACACACAGGCAGTTTGGACAGAGACATGCTTGTGGGCCAGGAGTCAAAAACATTGCACATGTTTTGAGCCTTACCAACTGTTTACTATGGAAGAGGATTAGGGCCACTGAAAAAAATAAAAAGTTAACAGATTTTTAAATATTATTTCAGTTTAATATGGGAAAAAAGTCAGAATTCTGACTTTAATCTCAGAATTCTGACTTTTTTTTTCTTCCAGAATTCTGACTTTTTTCTCAGAATTCTGACTTTTTTCCTCAGAATTCTTACTTTAATCTCAGAATCCTGCCTTTTTACTCAGAATTCTGACAGCTGATAAACATGTTTGCATCAAGCCGTAGCCATGTCTGTTTTAAAGACTAGCTCTCTTGTGTTAATCACCTTCTGCTCCTCCATTAATGATATAGCATCACCGGGGACCCCTCAGGCACGTAAAAAGTTGCCTAATTGAGTTATTTTCCACCAATGTGTTACTGGCCCTCTCAAACAACTCACAT